TTAAGCCATTGCATATGTTATCTTGATGTCAGTGGTAGGCCAGTAGATGCATTCTAGATGGTCAGGTTATAGAAGACACATCAGCTGCATCTGTGACATCTTAGAAGAGTTAAATGCTTGTCAATTGGACCCCAAACAGATGGCTGCTTGTGCATTTGATGGAGCTGTAAACTTCTCTGGAAAACATGGTGGAGCACAAGCTTTGCCTAGAGAAAAGTGTAACTCTAATCTCTCCTATACACACTGCAGAGGCCATCTACTCCAACTAGTGCTAGTACGAGCTGCAGACTCTTCAAAAGATATTTAAAGAGCCATACATTTAATGTCTTCGTTATACTCTTTTTTTCCAGCAAGAGTCCAAAAGGACTGAATGCCTTGGAAACAAATAGAAAATACACTAGGACTGAAATTCAAATGAGTCCAACCTGGGAAAACCCACTGGCCTTCTCATGAGCAATTCTTGGCTGTTGTCTTAAAATTACTGCAACCATTATTATTGGCTTTGGAAAGTATCTAACAAGATAGGACAGATCTAAGTAGTGAGGCTGGTGGATTACTTTTGCTACTAAGTTCAGAGAAGATTATTGCCATTCTCTCTCTACTGTTGAAACCACTTGGGTCATTAAACAATGTCATCCAGGTATCTTCTACAACAGTAGTAGATCTTTGTCCAGCAATAGAAGTTACACTTGGATCAATCAGAAAGATATCCATTGAAAAGCAAAGACTTCATTCAGAAGTTGACTAATTAGGGCACTTATATTGACTACTTAAGTGAAGAGGACATGAAGTGCTTGTTAAGCCAGCTGAAAAAGTACACAGACTTGATTCTTACAAATCTACAACAGCGATTTCTGGATTCTACTCCACCTCTACGTAGCTTTTACAGATCCCTATCCTATAAAACACCGACAGTTGAGTGGAGTGAGGCACTACCAGCATTGGGGCTGCCATGTGATCTGGACAGAATAGAGAATTTGAACACAGAATGGAATATCATATGACGAACAAAGGAAGATTTGACTTCAACTTCTTTATCATCACTAGTGGTTCAGCCCGATCTTTGTGCTGTTTCCAGGGATGAAAGAAGTAGGAATTCATCTCTTGCCACTCCCAGTCACAACAGCTACAGTTGAGCGTTCTTTTTCCTCACTGAATAGAATTTTGTGTGTAGCGCCCCCTCTCCACCCGGTTACCTTCTTTAATGCCAATCTGCTGACAGGTTTTGATAGACAGGCCTGGGTTCTTCTAGATCCCGCCACCCACCCAGCAGGGTGTATCTTCTTTATTTTTCCCCATGAATTTATTTGGCGGTGCCTCCACCCCCCTCGCTCCTTCCTGGCAGGGTCCCCAGGGCAGTTTGTGAGGAAAATTCTAACCACAGGGTAACCCCCACTTACTTGCCAGATAGTTGGAGACTCCCAAGAAATAACACAAACACATACAATATATTCAACACAGTAATTATATTAAACAGGAGACAAATATAACATAACAGGGTGAAACACTATTCTTAGGGTCACCGGTGCCCATGCTGATAATACCCGTGACTTTCCCCAGTCACGGGACCTGATGTAGCAAATGTAAGATTAGTGTCCCGTTGGTACACGTACTTTGTTGGGGCCTTTGATGACCTATGACCACGAGATCTTCTCTGCAGTGGTTTAGCAGTGTGGCTGGCTGGGTTCAGTACAGCCCAAAGGACTCACAAGTGGGAGGAGGTGGTAAGTCCGCCACAAGTTTAATATGCAGCAGGTTATGAAATCCCCATACCCTCACTCCCTGGCTTGAGGACACAGTTCAGGGAGTAGGGGGTCCCCAAAACAATTTCCCTGACTAACTAAAGGATGGTGCACTCACAAACTCCATGAATGATCCTCAGGTTCAGAGCTGACTCTGGACCCCTTGGTCACTGCAGAGGGGCTGATCTCTGCTGGCCGGGATCCTCCTCAGGCAGGAGTCAGACTGTGTCAGTTCCAGGATTTCCCCTCACCACAAAGGGGTGCAGGGCTCAAGGTGCAGATTACACAACTGCACGAAAATCCAAACTTTGGTCTCCTAGCCCAGCGTCTCCTAGCCCAGCGTCCAGACACACTCCCAGCAGGCAGCAGACCTGGACTAGCAGCCAGAGCAGAGCTGACCATGTGGTGACTGGTTTCCCCTAGGGAGCTGGAGGGTGAACTCAGCCTGGCTGGGGAAGTTTCCCAGCAAAACTCTACAAACTGGGAATCATCAGTGGAGAAGGAAAAGCCCAGCTGAGGGATCTTGCTGTCAGGTCTCTAGAGGCCAGTTCTCAGGGGCAATCCTGCACGCAGGTCTGGGACTCACCAGCTCCCCACATAGACAGTCCTGCCCTTGCCCTGGCTGGCTCAAAAAATAAATTAATGGAGATATCCTATCTCCTAGAATTGGAAGGGACTTTGAAAGGTCATGAAGTCCAGCCTACTGTCTTCACTAGCAGGACCAAGTACTGATTTTGCCCCAGATCCCTAAATGGCTCCCTCAAGGATTGAACTCACAGCCCTAGGTTTAGCAGGCCAATGCTCAAACCACTGAGCTATCCCTCCCCCACAGGGCTGCTCCCCTTTCCTGACCTCCCTGGGAAGGGCCTCTCATTCCCTATATGTTGCTGGGCAGACTCTGCGCCTGCCTTGGCTCCCCCTTCCCCAGGGACAGTGTGCCTCTCCCTGAGCTGCCGGCAGACAGAGCCCCGGGAATCTAGGTCATCCCCTTGGGGGTTACATGTTGTAACGAGGCGGTCTGGCTCCCCGCCGCCCCGGAGAGGGACGAGCCCCTCCGGACGCCAAAGTGGGCGGAGCCAGTGGAGTCTGAGCCCGCCCCCCAGAGGTCAAGGTGCAGGACAGGAAGTATAAAAGCCCAACCCCAGAGCTCATTAGAGATGTGGCTGCTGGAGATGCCAGACACCTGTGGCTGGGCTCCCGGTGGGGAGACGCCTGCAGTCTGCGACTGACCCGAGGACTGGCCAGACCCCAGGGAAGCTGTTAAGCCTGTCTGCGGCAAGCTACCCATAGGAGCTGCCAAGCCAACCGCTCGCTGGGTACCCTGGGGAGCCCATGGTGCTTGACACCTTGGAGGACACCGTCCGGACGCAGGTACCTCTAGAGGTGGAGGTAGGAAGTAGCCCGGGGGCAGCCGAACCTAGTCTGTCTGCAGCACTGCTAGAGCCGATGTCAGTGTGTTGTGGCCACGATCCCCACTGACACAGCAGCGGGTCTCTTGCCGTGCTAGGGCCCTGGGCTGGGATGCAGTGGAGTGGGTGGGTCTGCGTCCCCCCTGCCACCCAATGTGCGGGTGGTAGTCTCCACCTCTCCCAGGCCCTTCAGGGCCTGGGCCTCCTGAATTCATTTGTTTGCTCAGCCCCTGCCTAAGGGCCTGAGCCAGAGACTCTCGACTGCCCCGCCCTGAACTAGGGCCTGGGTCGGCGGAATAAAGCTGTTTGTTGGTCTCTCCCGTCGCCGCGGCGTGAAAGCCCGCGGCCAGGCTAGTTCCCCCGAAATAACCCGACGGACGTGGCGAGGCGGTGTGGTTGCCTGCCGCCCCGGAGAGAGACGAGCCCGGCCGAACCTTTCTACACATGTATTCTGAAAGGAGTCGCCTTCTGCCTGATCATGAGCATGTCATGAAGGACTGAAAGTACCGGACACATGAGAAACCAACAAAGATGGACGCACTGTATTCGAGAAGTTCATTAATAATGTTGTGCAAAATTACCACAAGAAGCCAAGAAGGATGTAGATGTACCATGTAGTGCTGCATAGTATGCTTGAGTAGCCAACTTTAATTTGTATGATGATTTTTAAATATGCGTTAAATGTAATAAAATGGTCATGAAACTTTTTCAGTGTTTACTATCATGCGATACAGTCCACCTTCGACCTCCTGGTCTCACCCCTCATCAGCCATCACCCTCCCCCCCCCCCGTATATTCAAACACCCCCCCCCCCACTTTCAATTTCTGGGGGAAACACTGCGTGCAGTGAGTGCTGTAGCTCGGGCCTTCAGCCCTGCATTGGTCCTGGCTTCAGCCCGGGGGGGCACCCTGAGGGGTGGGGCATTGGGGCTCCCCCGCTGCTCCCAGCTTCAGCATGGGAGGTGCCCTGAGAGGTGGGGTGCTGGGGATCCCCCACTGCTCCCAGCTTCAGCGTGGGGTGGGGCGCGGCTCCCCTGCTGTTCCCAGCTTCAGCCCTTGGGGGGAGGCTCCCAGCTTCAGCTCTGAGCTACTCCAGGCTTCAGACCGGGCGTTGTGGGGAGCACTGGGGCTCCGAGCTTCTGCCCTGTGCTGTTGCAGGCAGCGGCTCCCTGCCGCTGCTGGCTTCGGGGCGGGGGGGCCGGTGCCAGAGCTCAGGGCACTGGGTTTCAGCCGGGGCGCCCTGCAGCCCCCCTTGAAAGGTCTCGTGGACCCCCAGAGGGCCGCAGACCCCCGGGTGAGAACTGCTGCTCTAAACGAGATGTTATAGTGCAGCCACACGCTGCTGGGCATGATAGTGTCCGTGCGTTGCAGGGAAGGGTAACTCCCTCCACTGCAGAGATTGCTGCATGATGATCTCCAGTCTGGGCAACACAGGAGGTCAGGCGAGATGATCAGAATGGTCCTTTCTGGGCTTTAAATCTCTGGGATGGATTCTCTGATGCACCAAGGTCACTCCAAGGACACAAGGCAGCCGTAGACTGACCCTGGAGAATCTCAATCCCGGGCACTGGCCTCCTGTGCTCTCTCTGCTGCCCAGGTCCTCCCACCCCTGGGCTGGAAGTCCAGTTGCAGCATGAGTAGAGGCAGAGGGCAGGGGGAGCATTGGATAGGTTGGCTCAGTTGTTCAGAGGGAAGCCTGAGCTTTGAGTGAGGGAAGGACAAGCCCCCAGGAGCTAGGACTGCGCAAGGGGGGGGGGGGGTCGTCATTAATTAAATCTTCACATGTGTTATGGGGAATGGGGCCAGGTCACCTGCCTCCTCCTGCCCCAGAAAACAGACCCTAAATAACTCAGCTCAGCTTGCTTTAATCGTTGTAAATGACATTTCAAACATTGCTGATCGTTCGGTGCTCTAAGGCAGTCAGTGGCGATTGCTCCGGGTGCACCAGTGGGAACGGAGAGTGGCTTTTCATCACTGTCTGTCCCCGGAGACGCTCTGTTTCAGGTCGTTCACATACTGTTGAACCCAGGCATCTTTGGGGTTGGTGCAAATTTTATGATCTTTCTTTGTGATAAATCTGCAGAGTGTGAAACAGATGGGTTAGAATGAGAGGAACTTTGGGTGTGGAGAGAACCAAATGCCCCTTCTCCCAAATCTTCCCCCTGCAGGGAAAGGGGGCTAGCAAAGGGATAGAAAATAGGACAGAAAATATCATATTGCCTCTATATAAATCCATGGTATGCCCACATCTTGAATACTGTGTGCAGATGTCGTCGCCCCATCTCAAAAAAGATATACTGGAATTAGAAAAGGGCAACAAACATGATTGGGGGTATGGAACGGCTTCTGTATGAGGAAAGATTAATAAGACTGGGACTTTTCAGCTTGGAAAATAGATGGCTAAGGGGACATAAGATTGAGGCTTATAAAATCATGACTGGTGTAGAGAAAGTAGATAAGGAAGTATTGTTTACTATTTCTCATAACACAAGAATTAGAGGTTACCAAATAAAATTAATAGGCAGCAGGTTTAAAACAAATAAAAGGAAGTATTTCTTCATGCAACACACAGTCAACCTATGGAACTCCTTGCCAGAGGATGTTGTGAAGATGAAGACCATAACAGGGTTAAAAAAAGAACTAGATAAGTTCATGGAGGATAGGTCCATCAATGGCTATGAGCCAGGATGGGCAGGGATGCTGTCCCTAGCCTCTGTTTGCCAGAAGCTGGGAATGGGTGACAGGGGATGGATCACTTGATGATTCCCTGTTCTGTTCATTCCCTCTGGGGCACCTGGCACTGGCCACTGTCGGTAGACAGGATACTGGGCTAGATGGAACTTTGGTCTGACCCAGTAGGGCCATTCTTATGTTCAAATAGAGTTTAATGTTTTGTTGAACTGATTCAAAACAAAATGTTTCAGGTGAGGTAAAAAACTGTAATAGTTCAATTAGGGTCAAACCCACGCAAAATGAAATATTTTATTCCAATTTTCCAGACAGAAAACCAAAAATGTGGAGCAAAGTTGAAGTTTTCCCACAGAAAATTTCAAATTTTGTAGAAACTGCATTTTCTGTTGGAAAATCATTCCGTTGGAACATTCCTAAAAAGCTGTAGCCGGCTCTGTTTTTCTTGACCATGTCTGGAAGAGGGTTTCTACCCAGGAAAGAGAGGCAGTCCTGTACCCTTTTCTCCCATCAGCCCTGGCTCAACTTCTCCCCCTATAGGTCTGTCAGCATGGGGTGTCCAGGGAGCAAGGACCACAAACACTGACACACCTGTGCTCATGGTTTCGTAGGGGTCAGAATGGCAGAAACCTATTAGATCACAGAGTCAATCCTTGGCCTTACAAGAGAAGGACACAGACCTCTAAGAGAGAGTATGCATCAGACATTAAACTGATAAAACACTGGATGTTCTTAACCCAGAAGCTGATGCACCCAGCACCAGCTCCCACTATATGGGAGCTTCTGGGTAATATGACATGAATACACTATTTTCAATAAATGCAATTCTGATGTTCCTCTTTCTATCCCTGCTCTGGGGCAGTTCCATGCTCTGCAGTGAGACTCAATGAAGTTCCTAGTGAAGTAATAGAACTTATAGATTCCAGGCCAGAAGGGTCAACTGTGATCATCTAGTTGGCTCTCCTGTATAGCACAGCCCAGAGAACGTCCCTAAAAGCATTTCTAGAGCAGATTTTTAGAAAAACATCCATCCTCAATTTAAAAATGATCAGGGACGGAGAATCCACCATGGCCTTTGGCAAGTAGTTCCAGTGGTTAATTATTTCCAGTCTGAATTTGTCTGGCTTCAATTTCCAGCCACTGGATCATGTTAGAACTTTCTCTGCTAGACTGTAGAGCCCATTAGTAAAAACAATAGAACTTCTCTGATTTACAGCTGCTGAGGACCTGAGCAATATACCAGCGAGGCTCACTTTGATCACCTCCTCTGACCTCCAGCCTCGCACAGGCCAGAGAACGCCATCCAGGGATTGCTGCATCAAATGGGCCTTAAGAAACCTCCAAGGCCAGCAACTGGAGACACAAAAATCTCCCTCTCTCTCAGGCTCATAATTCTGTACTTACACTACAGCTGGCTGGGAGCACATGCGGCTGGTGACAAAATAGGCAGTCACTATGCGGCGTGGGATCTGCCGGGATGTGTAGCTGAAGCAGCTGTCGGACATCATACCCCAGCTCACTGAAAGAGAAGGAAGGGACCAATGTACAGTTCTGTGCTCTGAACACAATGTAGGTAAAGACAAGCACCGCCTGCCTCTACACTTCTTGGACACTGGGAGGGGGCAGGGAGAGGAGACCTCCAGCAGTGGGGTGTTGGGATGGGGGGAGGAGGAGAAGGAGGCAGGGAATTGGCATGGAGAGCTATTCCTCCTCCATTGATTCCCTCCATCCTTTTCTCATCCCTGGTGCTCAGGGCAACACATCCAGGTATGTAAGTTCTACTCAGATATTTGGCACCTTGCGGGCTGCTGGTTGCACCCCGAAGGCTCTCCCCTCTGCAGGAGAGAGACCCCCCATCCTGCCCAGACCAACGAGAAGCTGCTGGCTACAGATCTGACGTGGGAAGGGAGCCCAAAGGCTGGGAGGAGCTGGCAGGAAAAGCCACCTCACAGCTACGACCTTTCTCCTTCCACCCCCAAAAGGAAACACAGAGACTCACTTGCAAAACTCTTTTCTTCGATGGAGGCCTGGGAGCAGCAGGCCATGCTGAGGACAAAGACGAGGGCAGCCACAGAGACCTTCATGTTGCTGTCAGCTGGGGACGAGCTGCTGGAGCAGAGACAGAGCAGGACTCCTTGAAACCCTTCTCCGTCTGGCTCTGAACCTGTCCCCTCTCTCGGTACAGGGCGATGCAGGGAAGGGATAGCTTTTTGGGGAAGTAAGATCAGATTTCATTCCAGAGCAGTGATGACAGTGGCCCAAATTCTTCTGAACTGAGACATTGAAACGCCTTCCCATAAATGGATGGAGGAAGGCCAAAGCCTGTTATTTGTGATGACCGGTGTGGATCCTGGAAACAACCAGAGGACGGGAGGGAAGAGCCCAATCTGTTCTGTGTGGCTGGCTCGTTTTGTTTGAACTAACCTGCCTTTGAATGGCGAGCAGCCAGTGGAATAGGTGAGCCAGGACTGATAATGGACTCAGGAGCCTTTCACCTCCAAATCCCCTTGCTAATATTCTGCCCCAACCACAATATTCACACCAGTACATCCAGGCCCCATATTAACAACATATACCCACATCATGTCATATCAAAAACCCATTAACATTTGTGAAAAGAACATTTAACATATGAAACATTCCACATCTCCTTCTTCATACTACACATGACAATATTCATTAAAACACTACATAGAACCAATAACATAATAATCTCTAAATTTAACAGGCAGTACACCCTTATTAGCCCTCTGGGACCTTCTTAAGACTGGCGGTTCGTTACCCATATTGTCTATTTCCCTGTCCTCGGGTAATACTGGGGATCTGGCCATTCTTGTTAGGGTTTGGGTTTACCCCATTGGTTTCAGTGTCCTCTGGAAATGCTGCTCTATGCCTCCTACAAGCTCTGGTCAGACTAAAAGTTCAACGTTTTAGCTGGTCCCTATGTACTACTCTCTCAGGACCTCCTCGTTCAGGCTGGTTAGCGTACACTGGCAGTTCGGGATTGTTGTGGGTGACCACAGTGTGGGATTTGGCTCCCATTTGTCCTGTATTTAATCACATCTCCGGCGTCTGTGGCTATGAACTGGTACATAGTCACCAGGTCTGATGAGAGCCCCACTGGACTTGTGATTATAAGTCCTTTTCCTACTTTGGGCTGTCTCTTTAGTTGTACTGAGAGCAACTTTGCTGGTTGTCTTTGGCCTGTCATGGACACCTTTGACCCAGTCATCGAAATTGGTCACCTCATCCTTAGAAAATGCTTCTTGATGCTTCTCTTGCAACACCCTTAAGTTAGCCACATGGGCAGGAATCAGCCCTTGGCATGCCGCTTGAACTGGAACTGGCAGTCTCCCACTACATCTTTCCTGAGGAAAGGTAACTTCTTCTCCCTTCTCCCCAAATGTTACCTTCACCTGAGGGATCACCTCCTCAGGCTGCAATTCCATAGCCTTCACGCTTGAGTTTAGAAGACTCACTGGTACTCTTCCTTTGATGGCACTAGTCAGTACATTGGCTGACTGAAGTCCATTAGGTAGGTTTACCCCAAATGTAGGCTCTACAAGAGTTCAATATCTATTGGTATTTTCTGGTACACAGCAGTGTTCATCAAGGATCTTCCCTCTCCGAGGAGGAATAACAGTGTTCTGTTTTCTGCCCACTTTAACATTTCCAATCTGCCCTGCAGGGCCCAATGAATGGTTTTGTCTCTGCGCTTGAACCAGTTCTCTACTCAGCACGGCATTCTTCTTAGAGTGCCCATGATGGTTCATCCTCCTGGTTCCTTCTCCTGGCAACAGTAGCTCCTTCATCTCACTAATGATTCATTCCTAGAATCCCTGGACTTCTTCTCCCATATGGCTCCCTTCAGAGGCTTTGTCTTTCAGGATGAAGATGCATTTCCCTGGCAGTGTCTGACTCATGTAGTCTGTCTGCTTCGAGGCATCCCACCACTGGGATTGCCAGTCCATTAACTGCTGTTAGACGTACAAACTGTGTGCTGTGCATGGTCAGCTCCATGTCTTTCAAATATTTTTGAAAATATAACTCAGTAATGGTGGTGACTTCTGAGCCAGTATCTAACAAATATCTGGTCTTCACCCCTGCCATACATACTTCAGCAGTTAGACAGTCTCCAAATGCTCGCTTACAGAAGTCGCTAGATATGTTGGCACTGCCCATGTTCCTCTCAACACTGTATGCAGAGGGATTTTCCACCAAGGACAGGCCCAGGAATCCTTCTGCCACTACTTGGCCTCTTCTGTCGATGGACCACTTGCTCCTGGTGCCCCATTGGTTTCAAGTGCCTGGGACTCTGTTCTCCTTCTCAGTGGACATTCTCGGCTAGTATGTCCTGGCCTTTCACAAGTGTAACAAACGTATCTTCCCAGCTCGTCCTTCAGTGGGGCTCTTCGGGATCCCGGTGCCCTTGGATACTTTGACATACTAATGGGATTTTTTTCTTTCATCAACTCAGTCATCACTTTTAGCATCTCCTCCTGTTGGACCGCCAGTTTTTGGACAGCCTCACTTAAACTTTCCAGTGTTAACTGTGTTTGGGGCAGAGTCTTTTCCCCAGTAGTTGCATTCACTAGGCCCCCACTTCGTGTATGGGGGTTAGGCTTGGCCGCCTCTGCCACAGGAACTTCCTCTTCTTCTGACCACATAATAGCAGCCTGCATGAGTTCATGGAACTTCATACTGGGCTCTTCCTTCAACCTCCTTTTCATTTCACTTCGGAGGGAGTCGTCACGGAGCCCCAGCACCAACTGCTCTTTCAGAACCGTATCTGGGTCTGGAACTCGCTGAGGGTCTCGCCGCTCCACTTTGCTCATTCTCTCCTGGAGGTCATATGCGTATGCCCGGACAGTTTCACCAGGCTCCTGCTTTCTCTCAAAGAACTCCTTTAGTCAGGTTCCAATAGGTACTTTCTCTCCATATACTTCTAGAAGGAGTTCAAATACCTTTTCCACATCTTTCTTGTCCACCATTGCCATGAACTTTACTGTGGCCTTGGCCTGGCCCTTCAGGTGTTCCTCTATGGAGTCTACACGATCTTCTGCAGGTACAATTAGCACACACAGAGCCGCCTTCACAGACTGGCCCCCCCCCTCTCCGGTATTGTCTCCTGGTCTGGTCGGGAAGCCACCAAACTCCGTGACCTTCCGCTCCCGTGGAACATAAATAGTAGTTTTCAGAGTAGCAGCCGTGTTAGTCTGTATCCACAAAA